TGGGGACAAGACATTCTTTGCAATGTGAAAACATTAATCTTAATGACAGCAAACCAGGGCTCTCCTGCAGAAGAACAAGGTTAATTCCAGCTGTTAACATAACAGGTTGGTGCATAAAAGCCAATTTCAAGAGACCGTTGGTTGAACATATACCCTGGAATGTTAGTGTTGAGTAGACTACTGTCCTTTTATTTATGGACACCATATGCAGCCTGATATGCTTAGAGTTCTGTTCAATAGCAATTATATAAAAAATATCTTAATATGTGTGAACCACGCTAGGGAGAACAATTTAAGAGTCTAGTAAGTGGGAGAGAGGAAAGGCAAAAATAGAGCTGGAGAAATATGTTGGGTAAAATTCATTCACTTCTAGTAAGCAAACATGTAATTTCCATGATTTCTTTTTAATGGCTGCAGTCTGATGCTAGTAGGACCTGATTTATGAAAAGCTGTGAAAAATCAGGTGGAACCCTGCAGGACATCATTTACAGTTGTACGCATTGCAGTCTATCTAATTTGTCTAGTAAAAGTGTGAGCTTATGGTGCATATCACCCAGCCCATAAATTTCATGTTTAGACCTGTTGTCTAGGGGCTGGGTCAAAGGGAGGGGGGGCTAGAAGCTAGTAAATGCAGATGCTCTGAAAGCTTTGCATTCCCTTGGTGCTCATGAGGAGACATCACAGACTGTTCACAGCAAGAAACAAATTCCTGTTCATTGATAAACTGTCCAGATGTCCTCTCCAAGGAAGAAAGTAGCCTTTTGGCTTTGTTACAACATCCTACACAATATTGTGATTATTTGAATTAAAATTAGTTAATATTTTAATTCATTATATTAGTAAACATTAAAAATAGTTTTTGCACATTGTTATCCTGCTTCTTTGTTTTTCCCCCTCAGTTTGTTCTTTTTTTAGCTGCTTAAATTGATGCATCTTTTTTAAAAAATAAAAGGAGGAGGATAGGTTAATTACAACTTCTCAGGCTTTATATACACCTTGGGCTTCTGCACGTTTCTTAGGTAAACTGGAAATTAAACGGGTCATTTTCATGGAACAAACAGGAGGCAGTTAGTCACTTTTGATATGGTTCATATGAAAATTCTTTATTCTTTATTTTTGAAATGAAAACAGGAAAATTGGCAGAAATCCAAAGATGTATGTGAATATGTGATCCTGAAGAAATGCATGTCCACTCAAAGCTTAGTCTCAGCTATTTAATAGCCAGAAGCCATTTAAGAGAAAACTCTAAATATTGGTCATATTAAAAGAGATGGTTATTTGGTGCTTAAATAAATGGGCACGTTCTAATTTTTACTACAATGGTTGATATAATACAATTCATATATTATGCTATTAATAGTATTCCCAAAACAGAATTTTCCATATTCATGTAACAACAACAACAACAACAACAACAACAACAACAACAACAACAACAATAATAATAATAATAATAATAATAATAATAATAATAATAATAATAATAATAATAATAATGTTTAGAATAATCTAAATTCCCCAATGCCATGCAATACTTTTTAATAGCTCTGTGACTGTGTGAAGCGACAAGGGGCATTCAGTGGAAGAAATTATGGAATTTTGGATAAGGTCAGCCCTATTATTAGATGAAATGAGGCAGGTAGGCTCAAGTGTCAGGTGTTTAGGAGGTGTCATAATAGGTTATGTAAAGAGCTGTAAGTTTCACTTTGTGAATATTCCATGTGAGATGCAAAAAAGCATAACCTTGTCCTTTACCTCCATTATAACATGTTGTTAGTAGTCATGTTCATAGACCATTTCTCCCTGTATCAGTACAACATGTGTTGGCTGGAATGGCAGAAGTTCATATTAGAGTCAACAATTTTAACACAAGACTGTTGAATATGTCACAGCTCTACCATATAAGGAAAACGCAGGCAATAAAAATGAAAACAGAGACTGACCTATGTCTTCTGTCAACAACATCATTGCTAAACATCTATTCATGTTGAGTTTCTTTCACTTGTGCTGTTGTTGTTTAAGAAATTTTATAATATTGAGCACAATTTTGAACAAAATTAACTAGAAACTTTTTGTCAAATGCAATAATTGGGAAAAAATCTGAGACAGGAGGCAGTGTGATAGAGAAAATTATGCTATGTGTCCTTCATAAAACACAAATATTATTAAAAATGTTTAAGGAATCTCATTAAAGCACAGCTCTTTAGAAATGAACAAATATACGGACTTCCGGTTTTGCACAGTAGTGCAGCAGCAGAGGCATTGCGGGGATCCACTCACTACGGCTGATTTCTGTCTGGCAGGAGACCCTAAATGGGCCTGAAGTTGCCCCGTAGAGGCAACACAGAAGGGGGGAAGGTTGATCCAATCAGTTTAAGAAAAGCCCTCCAGAAACCGGCAGGAGAAGAGGTTAGCTCAACTTCCGAGTCTAGCCCAAGCTACAAGCAACCAAAGTCCAAAAGTATTACTCTAAGCTGACTGTAAACAACGTATTTGGAACTGCAATTTTCTCTCTTCTATTTGGAAATTGATTTCATGGGGGGAAAAACCAAGAAGCAAAAATCCTCTGAAAGTGAGAAGGAGGAGATCTTTTGCCCCACCCTCCTGCAAATGGAAGTGGCAAATTAAACCTTTCAGGGGGAATAGAAATACATTGAAATAAAAAGAATATGACTTAATTTGGATGTTTGAAATTGGTGGAATCTGTTAAGATTTTCCTTTTATATCATCAAAACATAAGTAAATAAGTGTTTATTACTGGAGGAACTGGTGCTGACATCTAGTGGTGGGTGAAAATATTACAACAACAGCTGCTCTACTACAGGGACTGGCAAGGCCCAGGAAAAGATAAATTTGATCTTGGTGACCTTCAATGTCTTAATAACAAATAACAACTGTGATTAAAAAAGGAAACATCTTGGGCTTTCTATAAAGTGAGAACTATAAACTCTAAAAAAAAGAATTGATCTTTCTGGATTACAAATACTAACTCATCTGTGACTCTAAAGCCATCTGCAGAGAAAAGAAAACCCTGATTTTTGGCTATCATGGAAAACCAGAGATCTGCAGAAAGAATATACCAAGAAAAAACAAATACTTTCCAGAAGGAGATCTATGCTATGTTGCAACTAATCCAAACAACAGTAGTCTCAAGGAAATTAAACATAACCTTAAAAACATAAATGAACACATCTCCAATTTAACTTTACAACATAAAAATTCTCAGAAAATAAAAATAGAGAGCAGAGAAAACAGACAAGTGATTACGAGACAGAGGAGAGAGATTTCAAGATGGAATTTAACAATATTAGAAAATATGACTTAACCCAGATGGAAAAAAATCTACAAGGAACACTGGACATGGAAAAGACAAACTATATGTTAAGATTACAAAATAAGTTTGAGGACAAGAAAAAAGATTTGGTAAAATGGATTTTGCCAGGAGAACAACAAGAAAAGATTTTCAATGAATATGAAGGGCAAAACCTTCCTATAAAAACATCTTACCTGTTTTGCCTTTTGTACTTGCAATAACATTTATAAGTTTATGGGAAGACTCTTTGATTCATCGAAGCATATTGAACAAGAAAGATGTTGGGGGGGGGAAAGGCTAAAATGAACATCAAGAAATTAGATTATGGGAATTATCAGAGGGAGTATTTAAAAATTAAACATTTGTTTGAATATAGTTAAAGAAATAGAAAGATTTTGAATATAAATGAAAATTAGTTTAAGAGGAATAAGCCCCTAAAGTAATATAGTATGCCTTCTTTCTTTTTATTTTGTGTTTGGTGTTTTTCTTGACATGAGAAATATAAAAATGTTGGGATGGTTTATATAAGAAATGTTTTCTCTGTTTTGTCTTTTTTTTGGCTCTTATTTTCTTTTAAGATATGAGAAATGTAAAAATGTGATGGCTTGTATGAGAAAAAAGATTTAAATACTTAAGTGTAACTAATTTTGAGAAAATCTTAACCAGTAAGAATGTTTTGAATACTGTGGGGAAAACAAATTTAAATAAGAATGTAAACAGGATTTAGGATGAGGTAATCAAGATGATCAATGAAAAGAAGCTTTATACTGATGTGGTTATTATTTGCAGAAATATGAGAAAAATGTTTATATTTAATTGTCATTTATTTAAATAAGAACTGTATTAATTTAAGGTTGGCTAAAGAGAATATTATTGGAAGAAGAGAAAATCAAGTAAAGTTATTATATAGACTATAGAATTATAGAAATTAATTGTTATTGGTTGTTTTTTAAACACTAACCCAGACAACACGATGTTTACCAAATATTAAGGTGTATGTTAAAAATCAATAAAACATATTTTAAAAAATGAACAAATATAACCACAGATCTGCTTATAATCTACAAAAGTTTTGGATAAAGGCTTCAGAGAGCTCCCTCAAATTGTAAATTTGGTAAATTTTAAGGAAGGAGGAAAGTATTAAATATGCAAATGACAGAGTTACATAAAATAATTTAATAAAAGTAATCATAAATAAAAGTAAACATACTGAAATCATTTTTGAATAGGAAATAGGAATAGGAAAGCCAAGTATAGGCCTGAAGAACAATTATTCATCTTTGCAGATTGTCTCCTAATAGGACACAGCTTATGTGAGTATTAGGACAGGTCATTTCTAAGTTACCAGGCCCTAAGCTTTACGAGACTTTATAGGTGATAAACAATACCTTGAATTGCATATAGCAATAAACTGTTAACAAGCATGGCTTCTAGAACAATGGTGTAATTTGGTATAATGCACAAAACCATTATTGCAATATTTTAACCAGCTGAAATTTGTTTGTTCAAAAGAATCTGAAACTCCTGATTTTTTGCATGGAACCAATAGAAAACCAAATATCTTCTGCTTTGACAGCTGTGTACATGTATAGAGATAGATCATCTGTGGGCATTAACAATTAATTTAGCTTGAAGATGAATCTTGACTTATTTCTGTTGCCTTACTATTACTTCTGTTTTATTCCAGGCCATCAAATCTCCTACTGGACCAAAGTAGCATTGAAATCTCACCCTTCCGCTCAACAGGTGACTGGCTCAATGGTATTCGGATAGGGCAATGCAAAGACATATTCACAGGAGTGGAATACAGTTCATGTGATACAATAGCCAATATTTCCTCAGAGTAAGAATTTTATTAAAGATATATTATTACATTTTTTTTCAATTCTCATTAAGTTTACCCAATTAAGACTGAATCTCATGGTAATTAGGAGGGTATCTGAGAAATCCACATTTTATAGATGTTTAATGCTAAAGCTTAATTTTGAAAATGAAGATAGGATCTCAATGAAAAATAATCTTCTAAGATCCTGGTCATCCTTAAATCCCAAAATAAATGGAAACAGTGGACCTGAAAAATATTTTTTCTGTGACCTAGTAATAGCTATATATTTTCACCAAAGACTTCAGTAAGATCTATATTGGTCCTCCATCTCCACTTACTCTTCCCCCGAGCCCTTCAAATCAATGTACAGTGGGACTCCTTATTAACTGGATATTGAAACCAAGATCTCCCAAGGCTTAGTGACTTAAAAATCTACACACTGCTAATAACCATTGGATTTGCATATCTGTGGTGCCAGGAGTCTTTGTGAATATTATACCATCAAGTTCTGGTATGAAACTTGTGATTAATTTAAGTAAAGCTATGGATTTAATGTGTTATGGGTTTAAATGTATTTTAAATATAACACTTTTGAATATTTTCAATATCTTTTTCCAATATAGTTGTGTTCACTTTGACATCTTGTAAATACTATGTATTTTATTACAGCACCAAAGTGCATCTCATACTTCTAACTTAGGTTACATAGATATCATAAAGATTAAGGAAAGTTCATACCTGAAATCTAGTATCAGTGGAGTAATTCATTCACTTTAGTCAAACACCTACATGCTAATAGTTATTATAAGCAAACCTTGTGCTATAAAATCCACATAATAACAGAACGCACACTTGCTATTGACATCCAGGGTAGCTGCCATTCCTGTCTAACTCATACATTTTGACTATAACAGTCAAATCATGCAAGATCTGAAATTTCTTTATAGTTACTACAGCTTTCAAAGAATTTATGATATTTAGGACTGCAGAGGTTTATTTTGCTTACCAAGTCCAACCTCTTGATTAGTTTAGGAAGCCAATGTAACGTATCACTCATAGTCAGTTGTCCAGCCTCTCTTTGATCCTATCTATTTCAGAATCGCTCATCACCTTTCTGGGTAATTGATTTCATTGCAGAATTGCTTCTTATAACCTAGTTCCATTGTCCCATATCCTGTACTTTGAAACAGTATAAGTGTGTCTTGATCGTTTTCTAGATGGCATCCTTTTAGATATTTGAAAAGTCCATTCTCCTAAAGGCTAAATATGGCCAATTCCATTTATACCAAAAAGAAGAAGGGCTGTTTTCTTAGAACTTAGACCCACCCATAATGCATTTGTTGGTATAAATGGAATTGGCACGATTAGTCTTTAGAAGATTGGATAGGCTTCTTTCCCTCTCCTGTCCTAAATTTCAGCTTAAAATTTAGCAGGATCAGAGAAAGGTAGTCACTATTTACAGTGTGTGTGTGTGTGTGTGTGTGTGTGTGTGTGTGTGTGTGTGTGTAAAGTGAGTCACTTGCCTCCTATTTAATAATAAAAGGAACCAAAACAACTTACAACAACTGTTTTTGCTATTACTTTTCAGTGACATGAAGAAAGTTGGGGTGACGATTGTTGGACCACAGAAAAAACTTATTAGCAGTATTAAATCTCTGGAAATACATACAAAGAATTGCCCTGTTCCTGTGTAAATTACAAAATGCCAGCATTCAGGACCCATCTGGAGAAAGGGCGAAAAATTACTGAAAAAGGTCCTGATAATGTGTGGAAAATTGTGAGACTTAAGAGGCACTGTTGCAACAAAATGGGGCAATTTGCAACAAACGTGAAATTTCCAGCCCATTAAAAGACTCATAAAGTTGAGTTCAATTGCCTTAAAATAGGAATGAAAAACTTATTTTCTATCTCTTATTCTTGAAGGAGGGGTACTTCCCTATAGTAATAATGGACTGCTCAAACATAAAATGCATTTGGAAGAAAAAAAGAAAGTGTTTAAAAAATACTTGTAACTTAAGCCATTCAAATATTAATAGACTGAATATCATAAAAGGCAAAAGAAACAGTGGATGTAATACGGTGTTTGGAATGACTGTCAACAGCATTAAACGGTATTTTTTTTAATATGAGGAAAGGATAGGCACGTAGCATTTTATTTCTTTAATTCCTGTAAGCATATTCGAGGATGATACCTCAGACTTGTCTAGCCATATCTGCAATGATATCGTTGCAATATTTTGTTTTTGACTGTGGATGGTAAATCTGAATGACAATTGGGTGAAAATGAAGGCAATACTTCACAGATACTTGTCCTGGGTGTGTTCTTTAAAAACAAAACTTTTTATATATATAAAATGCATATTTATTTCCTTTAAAAATGTTCCTCTTGTTTATATTTATATAGGTTTTGACTGGGATTAATGACTGCCAAATGCCAAATTTCTTCAAACTTTAGCTGTCATCAATATTTAAGGGGGGGGGAAGATCAGTAAAACTCATGTGATTTTATTCCTAATAAAAATTTCACTACAAAGGAACTGATGTGCATACAAGAATGCTCACAAACTTATAATACATCCTATACAAATATGGAGAATTTCATGCACAACATTTTTAACATGGAACCATATAACAATCTTATTTCACATGGGGAATATTCTTGGGGAACTATTTAATTGCATGTACTTAAACGTTGCAGTATTCAGATAGTTTTGGAGTGTATCAGATGTTTAACTGTTTGATGGATTACTTGGTAGTAGAATTCTTTGCTTATGTTGCCCTAGGATTAAAAAAAAAGATACTCTTAGGTGCTTCCAGACAAGGATGTTCTTGTGTAGAAACGATCCAAACAACATCGTCTTCCATTTGTTAGCTTGTTTTGTTAATCAGAATTTCTTCTATTTTCTTTCTCAATGGAATACACAGCACACACACACACACACACACACACAAAACACAATTACCTACCATGTATTTTGATCAGTAACAATAGAAGCTATCTGTTGGAAAACATTATTTTCTCACTTTAAATTACTGGTCACAATATATGTGAAATAATGATGTTATTACAATGCAGCATGTGTATGGTTATAAAATTTTATTTAAATGAATTCCCATCTTATTCATGTCCTTTTGCTCTATTTGGCCTTCTTTGAACATCCTTTTTTATGGTAACTAACAACAATTATTTTAATGTAATCCAAAACTTGCAGAAACTGTGACATCTAACGTAGTATGTAATCATATTTGAAAATGGATAAAGTAACATTCAAAATATTAGTTATACATGGAATGTCTTTGCTCATTCTGTAATTTTAATATCCCTCTAGTATGATTTCATTTTTCATGATATTCTGCTGGCCTTGAAAAGTACACAACATGTTAAAATGTTTTGAAAGGGCATAACAGTTCTGAAAGAAATTGGATTGGATTAAATTAACATTTTCATACTAATAATGATTCCTTCATTCTTTTAAAAAAATATTCTTTATACCTTATTGCAAAAATTCAAGCCAATAAGAAATAAGGTAAAATAAAAATAATATAATTGTTCTTCTGAACAATAACATGTGGAAAAATTATCCTACAATCAACTTTCAGTTCCTATAAAAGAAAAAAAAAGCTCATCAAAATTTCAAAATAGATTTAAGTTTTAGCTATTTTTAATTTTATCGCAGTATCTAGTAATGCCAGGGAACATTATTTTGAGTATGCTCATTACTTGGAATGGGTATCGTAGTTTGTTCAGGAGAATTACTTCTTTTCCTCCTAAGAGGATTTTTAAAAAGCTCTTAGTCTTCTCTTTCTTACAAATTTTGTACTCCTGAAGGGCATTCTATAGCCCCCATTTTCCCTATCCCATGTACATATGTAAACTTAGCAGTGTAAAATTTTTAACTGTGGAGTAGAGGAAATAGAATTTTTGTGGCCATCTTCCTGTACAGGACCTGCCTTTGATTATTTACATCAAAAATTTTTTTAAAAAAAACAGTCATTACAAATAATATGTAATAATTGATTTTGTATCTTAAAAATATTGTTTTATGTGTATTATTTATTTCTGTTAACATATAACATAGTCTTTGCTGTACTTTAGAATCCAATAACTCGAGATGTATAGATGTAATTGGAACTCACAAATCTGAATTTACTTTTAACATTTATTTCAAAGCATTACTTACTCAGTTAGTTTATTATGTTGTGCAAATATAGATGGCCTGTTACTAATGTAAAATGATTTGTAGTGGAAACATTTATATTTTTATAATAAACATAATGAAAGTATTTTTACATATTGGAATGCGGAGGTGATTGTTTAAAACTTGCACAAGTTTTTATGGTTTTGCATTAAATTTGCAGCATCTGCTTAACTAAATTTTTGATTTAGGTTTGGCTTCATTGCATTAGATGGTAAGATTAAACTACTTTACCATAAGGTTAAAACTTCTGAATGTTCTTACTTGATGTCAATTTTCATATCCATGAAGATGCTCCATTGGGAATTCCCCGGGATAGATGGCTATTTGTAAATCATTCTTACTGCTAGATTAGGGTCCAACAGCTATAGCTTCAATAATACAAATCACATTTAGGGGAAATTAAGCCAAAGTCAATTTTTGTTCCTATTAAAATAATTTGGTTTCTACACTCCTCAAGCCCATTACTGTTTCTTCTACAACATGAACATGTCACTCCTAACTGTGTAAAACTAAGAATTTATGGTGTCTTCAGATATGTTTTATCTGAGGCATATCTGAAGACACCATGCAAAGATATATATTAAGTAAAGAAATTAAAGCATGAGATATGACAATAGAAAGTTAATAGTTTATCTTTTTTGCAGCATTTTCACCATACTTTTCTCCACCTTACAGCCTTTCCCTGCCAAGATTTCCTCTAACTAAATTGCAGTTTTTATATGAAGGTTATGACTTTATCATTGGCTTGTATTTTGACTTCTACTTCTTTTTGGAATTCCAAAGAATCCATTCAACAAATGCTATTCAACAAAACTTTGATTGCTTTTAAACCTTGGCAAATGTTTAGCTCGAGAATTCAGATGTTTGCTCCACCGCTAAATATAACAACATCTGTTTGGAGCATTAAGGAAGTTTAATTTTGATCTTTGTTCATGTGAAATATTAACATTGAGGGATCTAAATAAAAATCTCAGGTAAGTCCTTTTTTTTTCAGAAATAGTTGAGCAGAAAATGTTATCTAGTTGGGTAATGAAATGTCTGCAAGAAAATAACCAAACTCAGAGAACACCAGGGACTCCACAGTTCAACCCTGAGCCACATATGTTTTCTTCTGTTGGTACTTATTATTTTATCACATATATTTCTTAAATGCTCACTGTTCAGTTTACATGTATGTTTTTCCTTACATATAAACCAAATGGCAATTTTCATTTCTTTCAATAAACTTTCATTCTTCATAACTGGTCATGTACTATTTCCACCAGTATTTGAATGTCTTAACATTTCTTCATCCATTTCCCATCTCCAGGAAATTTTATGTCAAGATATTCAAATGTAACAGTATGTACTTATTATAGTTTTTCATTATTATGTATATCTTTCAATTGTTCACTTTATATTCTCTGTCAAACACAACAACATTGATTAATTTCCAGTTGTTTGTTCATAGAACCTAACATTTGTGTTATATCATCCATGTTTTTATTCAACACGATGGCATTGTCGGCACTTCACAATAGTATATTTGTTACAAACATTGTGATAACAGAACAAACATATGTTTTTGGGGTTCTTGTCTTATGTGCAATACTGAATTGATTTTATCCAGTGGATACATAGGAGTCTTGCAGAGTGCATGTTTAAACTTACAAATGTTTCCTATAATGTATATTTCATCTTGACCTAAATGAATAAAAATGCAGAGAAGGAAAGCCATAACTTCCTTTATAATACTTTATTTTATAACAATACAATTCTCCTGTATAACCAAGCAACACTTTAATGATCATGCTGTATTCATTCATGTAACTGAATTGCCAATTGAAGTGAAAGGTGCACAGCACGGTTGTAGAAGTGCATTGCTTTTTCTTTCCTAAAGCATTTATATAGTTTTCAACTACTGATTAATTGAATTCTATAGTTCCCACTGAGGCCATTAGGAAAATACAACCAAAACAGCAGAGTGAGGTGTGTCTTTCCTTTTAAACGAACCTTTTCCTTTTGTACTAAGTGACAGTTTAGAAATCACTGGTTTGGATTACATAGAAAGGTAAGCCAAGTTAACTTTACTAGGTTTTTTTTTTGTCATTGTTAACAAACAACAGTGTCAAGGTTCCGAATGGATGATCCCAACAAAGTAAGAACAGCTAAGACATTCCAATTTCTAATGCAAAACTTTATTGAGTATAGCATATTAGCACTGATGAATAGAAAATCAGCTCTGGTTAAATTGGTGCCAGAACAGTAAATTAAAAGTATAGAAACTCCCCTTTCCCCTGACAGTGCAAGTCACATTCCCCAATTAAACATCAGACAATTATTATGAGAGAAATCTTTTTGTTATTTTGTAAATAATCTGAGTGACCTTGATTTCAAAACTTCACAGCTCACAGCTGCCAATGCTCTTGCCATTCATCCCTCCCCCCCCCCCCGGGTCTGTTGGCAAGCTAAAAAAACAACTAGGGCTGAAGCAGAATAAAGTTTCTTTGAAGCTTGACAAATAGATTTTCTCTAA